CATAGGGTGCTCCACCGAAGGTCTCAGTGGCACCGTCCGCATGCTTCCGCCACCACCCAGCACAGCCTGTTCCCTGCGTTTCACCCACCCAGTACAGCGTTTCGTGGCCCCATAGGGAGCTCCACCGGAGCCCTCAGTGGGACCGCCCGCGTGCGTCCGCCACCACACAGCACAGCCCTTGCTCCTTGCGTTTCACCAACCCAGTACAGCGTTTCGTGGCCGCATATGGTGCTCCACCGAAGGTCCCAGTGGCACCGCCCGCATGCGTCCGCCACCACCCAGCACAGCCCTTGCTCCCTGCGTTTCACCCACCGAGCACAGCGCTTCGTGGCCCCACAGTGTGCTCCACGGAAGGTCCCAGTGGCACCACCCGCATGCGTCCGCCACCACCCAGCACAGCCCTTGCTCCTTGCGTTTCGCCTACCCAGTACAGTGTTTCGTGGTCCCATATGGGGGCTCCACCGAAGGTCCCAGTGGCACCGCCCGCGTGCGTCCGCCACCACACAGCACAGCCCTTACTCTTTGCGTTTCACCCACCCAGTACAGCGTTTTGTGGCCCCATAGGTGGCTCCACCGAAGCCATCAGTGGCACCGCCCGCATGCGTCCGCCACCACCCAGCACAGCCCTTGCTCCCTGCGTTTCACCCACCCAGAACAGCGTTTCGTGGCCCCATAGGGTGCTCCACCGAAGGTCCCAGTGGGACCGCCCGCATGCGTCCGCCACCACCCAGCACAGCCCTTGCTCCTTGCGTTTCGCCCACCGAGTACAGCGCTTCGTGGCCCCATAGGGAGCTCCAGCGAAGGTCCCAGCGGCACCACCCGCATGCGTCCGCCACCACCCAGCACAGCCCTTACTCCTTGCGTTTCACCAACCCAGTACAGCGTTTTGTGGCCCCATAGGAAGCTCCACGGAAGGTCCCAGTGGCACCGCCCACATGCGCCCGCCACCACCCAACACGGCCCTTGCTCCCTGCGTTTCACTCACCCAGTACAGCGTTTCGTGGCCCCATAGGGAACGCCACCGAAAAAGATATTCAGAATTGCGGTGCTCACAACTGCATACGGTTGGGTCTTTCGCCAGGCTAATTTATTCCTAACCATCCTGTGGTGTTGGGCGCTGGTTTTACAGAGACGGTGCCCTGCGTTCCTTCCTTCCCGCCCCCTCCCCCTTCTTCTCCTCCCTCCCTGCGTTTTACCCATCCAGTACAGCGTTTCGTGGCCCCATAGGGAGCGCCACCGAAAAATATATTCACAATTGCGGTGCTCACAACTGCATATGGGTGGGTCCTTCGCCAGGCTAATTTATTCCTAACCATCTTGTGGTGTTGGGCCCTGGTTTTACAGAGACGGTGCCTTGCGTTCCTTCCTTCCCGCCCCCCCTTCTTTCCCCCCCTCCCTGCGTTTTACCCATCCAGTACAGCGTTTCGTGGCCCCATAGGGAGCTCCACCGAAGGCCCCAGTGGCAGGGTTCGGATGGCGGCCCCGTGTTTTGGTGCACCCCTCACACGGTTCGTAGCCCCATAGGGAGCTTCACCGAACGCTCCAGTGGCAGGGTTCGCATGGCGGCCCCGTACCATTTTGGCGCACCCCTCACACGGTTCGTGGCCCCATAGGGAGCTCCACCGAAGGCCCCAGTGGCAGGGTTCGCATGGCGGCCCCGCGCCATTTTGGCGCACCCCTCGCACGGTTCGTGGCCCCATGGGGAGCTCCACCGAAGGCCCCAGTGGCAGGGTTCGCACGGCGGCCCCGGGCCATTTTGGCGCACCCCTCACACGGTTCGTGGCCCCATAGGGAGCTCCACCGAAGGCCCCAGTGGCACGGTTCGCATGGCGGCCCCGCCTCATTTTGGCGCACCCCTCACACGGTTCGTGGCCCCATAGGGAGCTCCACCGAAGGCCCCAGAGGCAGGGTTTGCATGGCGGCCCCGCTGCACCCCTCACACGGTTCGTGGCCCCATGGTTTCGTCCCACGTGCCCTGCGGTTCGCACACTTGCGTATGGTTGGGTCCTTCGCCAGGATATGTTTTTCGTCCAACATCCCGCTGTAGGAGGACATGTCCGACCTAAAAGAAGCCCGAGATCGCAAGGAACCAGTGCTTTTCCCCACATGCTCGGTGGTTTTCTTGTCTTCTTCCCACCCGCGTTTCGCCCGCGTTTCTCCTCACCCGTTTCTCCTTCTCCCCCGGTCTTCATCACCTCTCATCCTCCACTCCTCCACGCTCATGCACGCATTAGGCACACGCACGCAAGGCATGCGCACACGTACATGCACGCACTGAGGCATACGCAGCACGGCACAACACCCATGGCGCAGGGCACGGCAGGCGTGGCACTTTCTCGACACCATCGGGGGGGGGACAGGGGGGTGATCCCGCTATGCGCGCCTCTCGTCCAGGGCATAGCGGGCGTGGTGTTTTCTCAACACCAGAGGGTGTGCGTGGGAGGGTGGTCCCGCTATACGCGCCTCTCGTCCAGGGCATAGCAGGCGTGGCGGCGTGGTACTCTGTCGACACCATAACGGCTGCGCAGGGGGAGTTCACGCTATGCGCGCCTCTCGTCCAGGGCATCTAGCAGGCGTTGTATTTTCATGACATCATATGGGGTGCGCGGGGGGTTGGTCCCGCTATGCGCCCATCTCGTCCAGGGCATAGTAGGCGTGGTATTTTCTGGACACCATAATGGGTTGCGCATAGGGGTGGTCCCGTCTTGTCCAGGACATAGCAGGCGTGGTATTTTTTGTCGACGCCATAGGGGGTGCGCGGGGGGTGGTCCCGCTATGCGCGCCTCTCGCCCAGGGCATAGCAGGCGTGGCATTTTCTCGACACCATAGGGGGTGCGGTGGGGGGTGGTCCCGTTATGCGCGCATCTCGTCCAGGGCATGGCCACGGTGGTATTTTCTCGACACCGTCGGGGGTGCACAGGGGGGTGGTCCCCCTATGCGCGCCACTCGTCCAGGGAATAGCGGGCGTGGTAGATTCTCGACGCCTTAAAGGCACAGGGGGGTGGTCCGCTATGCGCGCCTCTCGCCCAGGACATAGCAGGCGTGGCATTTTCTCGACACCAGAGGGTGTGCGCGGGAGGGTGGTCCCGCTATACGCGCCCCTCGTCCAGGGCGTAGCAGGCGTGGCTCTTTCTCGACACCATAGGGGGTGCGCGGGGGGTGGTCCTGCTATGCGCGCCTCTCGTCCAGGGCATGGCAGGCGTGGCATGTTCCCGACACCATGAAGGGGTGCACAAGGAGTGGGTCTGTTATGCGCGCCTTTCGTCCAGAACATAGCAGGCGTGGTATTTTCTCGACACCACATGGTGTGCGCAGAGGGGGTGCCCCCAGTATACGCGCCTCTCGTCCAGGCGTAGCAGGCGTGGCTCTTTCTCGACACCATACTGGTTGCGCAGGGGGTGGTCCCCCTATCCGCGCCCTTCGTCCAGGGCGTAGCAGGCGTGGGACTTTCTCGACACCATGAGAGGGTGCGCAGGGGGTGGTCCCTGAGCGCGGCCGCTATACGCGCCTGTCGTTTATGTCGAAGCAGTCGTGCCATTTTCTAGATATCCGTAAAGGGGGTGCGCAGGGGGTGGTCCCTGAGCGCGGCCGCTACGCACGCCTCCTGTTTAGGGCGTATCAGGCGTGGCATGTCCTCGACACCAAACAGGGTGCGCAGGGGTCGTTCCTCTACTCAGCCGCTATGGGCGACTCTCGCCCAGGGCGCAGCAGGCGTGGCACTTTCTCGACACTAGAGGGGGTGCGGAGGGTGTGGTCCCTGAGCGCGGCCGTATGTGCGATTCTCGTCCAGGGCGTGGTAGGCGCGGCACTTTCTCGACACCAGAGGAGGTGCGCAGGGGGCGGTCCCTGACTCCCAGAACTTGCCAGGCGTCGCCAACGGTATTGGCGGGGCAACGGCCATCAGCATCATTTTCGCATGTTTCACCTCGGCCATGATCGCGCCAGACATATTCTAAGTATGCGGGTTTCATCGGTATCGTGATTGTGTCGGCGCTCGCGCTCTCGGGGTTGGGCGGTTGCTTTAAGTTGGTGGTCGCACCCCTCTCTTCGCAGAGCAAACCAACCGCATATACAGTCGGGGCGCTGAAGAAGAAACCATTTTCGGTGGGGAGGGGCTCGGTGTTCCTTGATGGTGTTACAGTTTGTCTTGGGTTTTCCTTAGGTTTTCCATGGGACATCGAAGTTTAACACATGGGAAACAAAAGGGGCTTCGTTCCTTATTTAGGGTTCCCTGGACCAACGCCCCGACTGTAAGCGCAACTTCTTCGAGGCCCGCGCGGATTTTCGGGATCAACGTTGCGACCCCCTTGGCGGCGCCTCCAGCGCCGCCCCTGGCGCGCCCCCGCGCGGACCTCCGAGAACTTATGGCTATGCAGATTTTGGTTCCTCTATCTCGCGCGCGCCGCCAACACCTGCGCGCTTTGAGGGCGCTCGTCGGTCCGAATGGGGCCAGGCGCAGAAGCGCATCCCAGCTGAAGGGATGGGGAGGGGAGGCTTGGGAGAAGACATGCGGTGGAGGGGGGCGGGGGATTGGCGAGGGGGATGAAGAGGAGAAGGAGGACGAGGAGGAGGAGGAGGAGGACGAGTAGGAGGAAGAGGAGGAGGAGGAGGACGACGAAGAGTACTGGTTTTCTAGGTAGGCGGACGCAGTCTCTCCTATACAGATCCAGTGGGTAGGCAGACCCCGCCGAATCTCGGACGCCCAGCCAACCGCATTCGGAGCCTTCTCGGCAGATGCGAGACAACTTGTCGGTAGCGTCCCATGGTTGCATGGCTCGGATCAGTTTCGACAAAACGCTTCTGAAGGCTGTGGAGAAGGAGCTAGGCGCTCTTCAGCTTGGCAGAGTCAGCGGCTCTGATCATGCCATGAAGCATTTCACGGCTCGTATTTTGTTGATCAGCAAGGGCGTTGCGGCATCGAACCGCTCATCCTTCCAATTGCGGTGACCTTTATTGACGGGCGGAGTCATATGGAGTTTCCCTCGGGGCACGGTGCCCAGGCTACACGCCCAACTGCCGCGAGCGCGTCATCAAACTCGTCGAGAAGCAGGTCGACCCGTTCATGCCGCCGCGCTTCAAGCACAAGAAGGTGCCCAGAGGCAAGCGTTGCCTTGACCCTCCTGCTCCTAGTGCATCCTTGTGTGTAGCATTCCTCATTCCTCTTGCTTTTCTTACCTCTTCTACAGCTGTGTCCAGTTACGTCCCGTGAAGCCCATCTATTCAGCACAGCGTTCGTGCGATCGTGTGTATGCCTTCGTGATTTCTATGTGGGCGCTAGAGATCGGGTAAGAATGAGTGCGTGGAGGAGAACGTGGGTGGGGAGGATACTGGGAGAAGACAAACAGGGTGAGGAAAACGGGACTGGAAGACGAGGGAGGGAGGAAGAAATGGGGAGGAGGAAGACGAGGGGGACCATGAGCAGGAGGATGAGGAGGATAAGGAGGAGGAGGATCATGCGGAGGAGGACGAGGTGGAGGAGGAAAATCAAGATGAAGAACAACATAATGGGGATCACGCAGGAGGAGGAGCGAAGAAGGAGGAGGAGGAAGAGGAGGAGGAGGAGGAATCGGGGCAGGGAGGTCGGAAATATGGGAGGAGGTGGACGAGGAGGAGGATGAGGGGGACCATGGAACACTTGATTGGGGCACAGCCTCTCCTCCTCTTCCAGGGGATGCCCTCTGGCGTTGAGCGGCGGCGCGCGCGCGCGATGCCAGGGCCTCCGTCTCCGCCCCCGCCTGTGCACCACTCGCCGGCAAAGAAGCTGACCGCCAAGGAGACCCGCCCCGTCGGGAGCCGAGCGTCGGTCACCGATCGCGTTCCACTGCACTCGGACCGAGGTGGCAGATCGAGGTCGATTCGGGGAGGGTGCCCCGATGTTCTTCGTGTTAGTTGGACGTTCTTGTCAGAGGCGACGACGGGGGCGAATGGCCCAGGGGAGAGCAACACATGTATTCGGGTGCGCCGATGATCTATGCCTTCGAGGAGGCTCCCGGGCGAAGACGTGTACTGCCCGCCCCTGGGCTGTTTCGCCCCCACCGTCGCCGCCGACCTTGTGCGCCCCGGGGAGGGTGCCCCATAGAGACGTTCCTGTGAGCCGTTGGCCGACGGAGGGCCTCGTGCTCTCGGGGGATGCTCGCCTGGCCCGGGTCGGGCCGTGCCTGCTCGACTGGCGTCTGACAGGAACACACGTCTGCATCGACGTGCTGCCTCGCGAAGCCCTCGTGGGGCAGTACTGTGCGAGCAGTGGAACGCGCTCGTCTAGTCGGCCGCTCCCTTCCTGGAGGGTCAAGGTTCGAGGAGGCGGGCTCGCGGCACCTCGCCGCCACGCCTGGTCAAGGCGCAGCCCCGGCGAGTGCTGGGGCAGTTCTCGTTGGGGGGAGGGGCGGAAGAGTCACGGCGACGAGAAGGGGTACCGCGAGAGACGTCCCGAGGCTCTTCGCTGCTCTCGGCCTCCTGGGGACCTTTCTGGGCCCCGCGAAGGTACGCCGCTGTCTGGGACAAGCTGGTCCTGGGGAAAGTATCACGATCTGGGACCCTTTTGCCTCAGGACCCCTGTCTCTCATGCATTTTTGTCCTTATCTTTTTTTTAGGGCCTGGGGCAATCCATTCTTGACGCGTCTTGGCCTCGATGCGCTGGGTGGGGCGTAAGTTTTGCCTCGCAGGGGGCTGCCAACAACTCGGACGAGTCCTGCTGCGGATAGCCCGAGCTTGGGAGGAGGAGGAGGAGGAGCAGGAGTTGGAGGAGCAGGAGGAGGAATGAGAGGAGGAGGAGGAGGAAGAGGATGATGATGATGATGATGATGATGATGATGATGATGATGATGATGATGATGATGATGATGATGATGATGATGATGATGATGATGATGATGATGAGGAGGAGAGGAGGAGGAGGAGGAGGAGGAGAGGAGGAGGAGGAGGAGGAGGAGGAGGAGGAGGAGAGGGAGCGCGATAACCTTCCCAGGAGCGGTCACCGCTTGTCGGAGCCTCGATCCCAGGTTGTCTGCCCAGTTGCTGGAGAGGAGGAAGAGGGCAGAGGACCGATGACGGAGGACAGACATAGAGGACCGGGGGGAAGTCACCCCCCTCGTCTCCCCCCCCCACCGCCTCGCGCTCTCCCCCCCCTCCACGTTCCCGCCCCCTCCCGTTCCTCTTACCCCTCCCCACCCCCCTCCATTGCCCCCCTCCTCGCCCCCCCCCACATCCCCGCACTCCTCGCCCCCCCGCTCTTCCCATCCCCCAGCCGTCCCGTCGTAAGGAATCGTCATGACGTCACATCGATGCCACAGGATCAGAAGGACTGGAAGATCCCGCCCAGCATCTCGAACTGGAAGAACGCGGAAGGCGGGCCCCGCCGCGCTCCCCCCCGCCTCCGTTGCTCGGCCGACTGGCAGCCCACGACGGACAAGTCAGCCTGCGCGACGGGGGTCTCGGGCCCAGAGGAGGGATGAGGACGGAGAAAAGTGGGAGGAGGAGGAGGAGGAGCAGGAGGAGGAGGAGGAGGAGGAGGAGGAGGAGGAGGAGATGGAGGAGGAGGAGGAGGAGGAGGAGGAGGAGGAGGAGGAGGAGGAGGAGGAGGAGGAGGAGGATGAGGATGAGTTTTGCCCGCTCAGGAGCAGTGTTCAGGAGCAAACATGACGCCTGCTGCATCCGATTAAAGGCCTTGGCCGCCGGGGAGTGTCCTGGCCAGACCCCACGATCGAGCAGCTAGAGGTTTCCCAACCCGGACTTGGTAGGAGGGCCATGCATCACCGCAAGGCCTCTCAGAACCCCGTTCTCACTCTCAGAGCACAGCCCACAAGTGGAACAGAAAACTGGAACCTGGAAGTGGGCTCCAGCCGTGAGACCAGGATGAATGGCTCTGTCAGCAACCCTTGTCCTTGGAGGCACGGGGAATGAATCACCTGTAACAAGTGGCTCCACCATCTTGCAGGTGCTCGCCAGCCGCTCGATGATATCCTGCTCAGGGCCCCCTCGGCTCTCCGGGCAGCGACGGCACGAGAAGCGGGAGCCCGCCTTGCCTTTTCGGCCCTCGGGTCGCACCATCTCATGAGACGTAACAGGCAAGGCACGATCGAGCGGCTTAGCTCTATCAGAGGCCAGCAACATATGTACACGTACGCGGTTAGCTTCCCCTGGAGTGCGTGTCAATGCGGACGTTCGCGCAGGCAAGACCGCGGAGGGCGTACATATACATATAACGGCGCACCGGGTCCGGGGGCCCGGGGCCGGGACCCCGACCACAAATGTGCACCCCGGGGGGCCCGGAGGCTCGTCGGGGCTTGCCGGAGGCCTCCCCGGTCAGACAAGACGGCCCCAGGAGCGCCCAAGACGGCCCAAGAACTTTCCAAGAGGCCTCCAAGAGGGCTCCGAGATGCTGAAGATGGCCTCCAGACGTCCAAGGACGCCCCCAAGAGGCCCCAAGAAGCCTCCAACATGCGTCCCAAGAGGGCCCCTAGACGCAAAAATTGCCCATTCCCTTCGTAAAACGTACATTTTTCAACAAAGTTGCTTTTTGTGCTTTCCGACGTTACAGGACGGCCCACGAGGCGCCCAAGACCGCCCCAAGACGGCCCAAGAAGCCCCCAGGACAGCCCAAGAGGGCCCCAAGACGGCCCAAGAGGCGCCCAAGATGGCCCAAGAGGGCCCCAAGACGGGCCCAAGAGGGGGCCCAGAGGGGGACCACGAACCGCAAGCTCGAGCCTTCCGCCCCAAGAGGCCGCCAGGAGGCCCCCAGGAGGCCCCTCAAGAGGCCCCAGGAGACCCCAGACGTCCAAGGACGCCCCCAAGAGGCCCCAAGAAGCCTCCAACATGCGTCCCAAGAGGGCCCCTAGACGCAAAAGTTGGCCCATTCCCTTCGTAAAACGTACATTTTCAACAAAGTCGCCTTTTGGGCTTTCCGACGTTACAGGACGGCCCAAGAGGCGCCCAAGACCGCCCCAAGACGGCCCAAGAAGCTTCCAAGAGGGCCCCAGGACAGCCCAAGAGGGCCCCAAGACGGCCCAAGAGGCGCCCAAGATGGCCCAAGAGGGCCCCAAGACGGGCCCAAGAGGGGGCCCAGAGGGGGACCACGAACCGCAAGCTCGAGCCTTCCGCCCCAAGAGGCCGCCAGGAGGCCCCCAGGAGGCCCCTCAAGAGGCCCCAGGAGACCCCAGACGTCCAAGGACGCCCCCAAAACGCCCCAAGAAGCCTCCAACATGCGTCCCAAGAGAGCCCCTAGACGCAAAAATTTGCCCATTCCCTTCGTAAAACGTACATTTTCAACAAAGTTGTCTTTTGGGTTTTCCGACGTTACAGGACGGCCCAAGAGGCGCCCAAGACCGCCCCAAAACGGCCCAAGAAGCTTCCAAGAGGGCCCCAGGACAGCCCAATAGGGCCCCAAGGACGGCCCAAGAGGCGCCTAAGATGGCCCAAGAGGGCCCCAAGACGGGCCCAAGAGGGGACCCAGAGGGGGACCACGAACCGCAAGCTCGAGCCTTCCGCCCCAAGAGGCCGCCAGGAGGCCCCCAGGAGGCCCCTCAAGAGGCCCCAGGAGACCCCAGACGTCCAAGGACGCCCCCGAGAGGCCCCAAGAAGCCTCCAACATGCGTCCCAAGAGGGCCCCCAGACGCAAAAGTTGGCCCATTCCCTTTGTAAAACGTACATGTTCAACAAAGTTGTCTTTTGGGGTTTCCGCGCCCAAGATGGCCCAAGAGGGCCCCAAGACGGGCCCAAGAGGGGGCCCAGAGGGGGACCACGAACCGCAAGCTCGAGCCTTCCGCCCCAAGAGGCCGCCAGGAGGCCCCCAGGAGGCCCCTCAAGAGGCCCCAGGAGACCCCAGACGTCCAAGGACGCCCCCACGACGCTTCGCGTCACCAATTTCTTCTCACAACGATTCCTGGGTCTGTGACTCGACAGAACCTAAGCGCGCGCGAAGCGCGCGCGTGGTTCTAGTGTACATATGTCGTTGCTCGCCCACTCTAGGGTGCTTGGGCCGTGATGGAGCGTGTTCAAGTTGAGACGTACACAGCCGAGGATCCACACGCGCGCACTCTTCCATCACGGCCACCAGGCGCTTCCTAATCCTTTTGGCTCAAGCTCTTACTACAAGTCTTACTCACTACAAGTCTTACTCCCAACTCTTACTCACTACACTTTATTCTTCCGATGGCTTTTTCAGGCGATGGCGAGAAACTATTGGCAGGTACACCTGTTCGACAGCTCTTCAAACAACATCGGGTCCACAGCCCGCTTCATGAAATGGATGGGCTTGACGACCGCCCGCCGCAGGATGTCAGCATCAGCACGCCGCTGCAGGTCCCAGACACGCCCCCGAATGCTCGCAGCGGGAGCACCTCCCAACCTGCAGGCCTGCAGGAGATCGCAGCGTTGCTCAGACAGGAGGTGGACCCCTTGCGGCAGGCGATCACGAATCTAGAGAGCATGATCTCGGGCATGGGGGAGGCGATCGAGAACAGGATAGGGGGTATTGGAGGGGAAGGTGGAGGACGTAGACATCCGCATCACGAATCTCGAAAATCAAATTGATCAGGGAACCCCGAGGTCCGAGCACAGCATGAGCCAGGAAGTCTTGGACCAGATCAAGGCGCTGGAGATGGAGGTGTCGATGCTCAAGACTGCGGCCTACCAGCACCCGAGCCCGGACATCGACAAGACAGTCGTAATTGGAGGGTTGCAGTCGTTCGGGGGGATGGAGGAGGTCAAGGCGTGGTTGGGGAAAAAGCTCTGGGACGAGTATGGCCCACAGCCAGAAGATGTCTACACTAAGGGGAATTTCGGGGCGTGGTGTTCGTTAAATTTCCTAGCGCGGGGGATCGGAACACAGTTGTGGGCCTATTTTGCAAAGCGTCTTTCTAGGAAGGGGGAAACAACATCTGGGCGAAAGCGGACCAGCCCCTCCCCAAGCGGGCCATCACATCATTCGCTTTCGGCCTGAAGTACTTGTTGAAGCAATGGGGGTACGAGGCGAAGGCGATCTGGGCGGACCCCGATGACGGCAAAGTCTGGCTAGGTGCGGAGATGGTGGCCTACGCGACGATCGACGGAGGCAAACTCAACGTGGTTTACGGTCATGGTTGGGAGTCTTGGTTGACAGATGCAGCTTACCCCGGCTTCCTCAACCTCGTGTCGAAGCTTACTGGCAAGCTCGATACTGTCGCTTCCAAGGGCGTGGGAAAGATAGGTGCCAGGGGAAAACCTCCAGGGAAGGGCAGCGGACAGCACAGCAGATAGGGGTGCCAGCGGGGCGATAGCAGCGACGTGTCACACCAGAGTTCTGGATCCCTGTCCTTTTGCCGGGTGTTCCAACCAGCTCCTCACGCTACTGCAGTACATGTTGGGTCGAATGGCTTAGCCAAGACGCCTCTTGCTGCAGCCCGGGGCGGCCGTTTGCGCCCCTCCAGTTCCGAATTCACGATCGCTTCGTGGAACATCGAGGGGTGCACCAATGCAAACCAAGTGGAGATCGAACGTATCATGGAAAGAGAAACATTGATGTATTAGGCATCCAAGAAACATGGCAAACCTTATCATACACCCTAGTCACAGACACGGGGTACTTCGTTGTACTATCAGGGGGCGCTGAAAGCAGAGCAGACGAAGACGAGGATCGAGCAGGCGTCGGCTTCATGGTTGCGCCGCGTGCGCGGCGATCCATTGTTGCATTCCGCCAGGTGTCATCCAGACTGGTATCGCTGAAACTACGGAGGAGGAAGGAAAGGATGGAGTGGCGGAGGCGGAGAATGCGGAGGATGAGGAGGAGGAGGAGGAGGAGGAGGAGGAGGAGGAGAAGGAGGAGGAGGAGGACGAGGAGGATGAGATGGAGGAGGAGGAGGGGATGATAGGAGGAGGAGGAGGAGGACGAGGACGAGGAGGAGGAGGAGGAGGAGGAGGAGGGGGATGAGGAGGAGGAGGAGGATGAAGGAGGCGGCGGAGGATGGGGAGGTCTACAGGCTCCCGCTCGTGCCCCTCCCCCTCGGCACAGCGTGCTGCTCGCCAGGGCGAGCGGGTCGGGGGGATGGGCCTGGACTGGCCACCTGCGTGGGCGGTGCATACGGCAGACGACGATGTCCCTGGCCGTTTTGGGCGGCCCGCGAAGGCTACGTCATCCCGCTGGACAAGCGCCTCCAGGCAGACGGCAGGAACCTGCAGGACCCTGGCCAGCGCAGGGGGCGCCCTGTGGCCTCCCACGGGCGAGCGACGCGGGGGGCTGAGATGGAGCGTGTCGGGGCCGCGAGGGGGCGGCCTTCGACGAGTGCGCCGGGGGGGGGGGGGAGGGGGGGGGGGGCGGGGCTTCAGGTGGCAGGGAGGCTTCTTCAGATAAGCTCTCCTGGCTTCCAGCGGGGCTTCTCAGATGCCCGCGGGCCTTCAAAGAACGCCACCCGCCGTCTTAGAAGGCTTTCCTAAGAGGTCGCATGCCTGATTGCACTGCTGATGGCTAAGCTGCTTACAGGTAGCTGGGTGCAGGACAATGAAGAAGATGGGAGGACGCGGCGTGAGGATGCGGAGGAAGCGAGGACCAGGGATGCGTCTGATGATGAAAATGGTGTTGTTGATGATGGTGATGATGATGATGCTGCTGCTGATGATGATGATGCTGATGCCGCTGGTGAGGATCGTGATGAGGATGTTGATGCTGCTGCTGCTGCTGATGCTGATGATAATGATGCTGATGATGCTGATGATGATGATGATGATGATGATGATGATGATGTTGATGTTGATGATGCTGACGATGCCGATGACGATCATGCTGCTGCTAATGATGACGACGCTGATAGCGTTGCTGGTGATGATGATGCCGATGCTGGTGATGATAGTTGTGATGATACCGATGCTGTGATGATGATGCCGATGGTGATTGTGATAGTTGTGATATGATAGTTGTGATGGTGATGGTTGGTGATGATGCCGATGCTGTGATATGATAGTTGTGATGGTGATTGTGATAGTTGTGATGATACCGATGCTGGTGATGATGATGCCGATGCTGGTGATGCTGAATATTATACTGCTGTTGAGGATGATGGTAATTAAGCTGACGATGCTGATGATGCGGATCGTGATGATGTTACTGACTATGCCGATGCTGATGATGATGATGCCGAGGATGATGCTGACTATGATGCTGATGCTGCTGATGCTGATGATGCTGATGAATGTGATGATGCTGATGATGGCGATGCTGATGATGCTGCTAGTGACGATGCTGATTCTGATGATGTTGCTGATGATGATGCTGCTAATGATGACGCTGATGCTTCTGATGATGGTGATTCTGATGATGATGATGATGATGATGAGGATGCTGATGCTGCTGCGGCTGCTGATGATGTTTATGATGGTGGTATTGATGATGCTGCTGATGGTGATGACGATGCTGATGCTAATGATGATGCTGATTGTGATGGCGATGGTGACTGCGATAGTGGTGGTGATGCTGATTCTGGTGATGATGACGACGATGCTGATGATGCTGATGATGATGCTGCTGCCAAGAATGATGAGTATGCTGATGCTTACGATGTAGTTGATGATGATTTTCATGACGATGATGGTGATGATGACGATATTGATGATGACGACGATGATGTTGCTGACTATGCTGATGCTGACGATGATGCTGATGATGCTGCTGATGATGATTATGCTGATGCTGCTGATGATGCTGATGATGCTGAGGATGCTTACGAAGAGGAGGATGATGCTGACTATGATGATGCTGCTGCTGCTGATGATGCTGATGCTGGTGCTGCTGATGATGTTGATGAATGTGATGATGCTGATAATGATGCTGGTGATGATGATGATGATGATGATGATGATGATGATGATGATGATGATCATGCTGGTAATGATGATGCTTATGAGGATGCTTATGATGATACTGCTGCTGATGATGATGCTGATGCTGCTGATGATGCTGATGATGATGCTGATGGTGATGATGATGCTACTGAGGGTGATGCTGATGATGGTGGTTGTGATCATGATGATGTTGCTGCTTCTGATGATGACGATGATGACGATGATGGTGATGATGATGATGATTATGATGATGATGATTATGATGATGATGATGATGATGATGATGATGATGCTGATGATGATGATGATGATGATGACGAGGATGATGATGAGGATGATGATGCTGATGCTGCTGCTGCTGCTGCTGATGATGATGATGATGATGATGATGATGACGATGACGATGACGATGATGATGACAACGATGAGGAGGATGATGAGGAGGTGGAGCATGCGGAGGAGGAGGATGAGGAGGAGAGGGGAGTACCAGGAGCCACGAAAAGATGAAGAAGAGGGGGGAGCACGATAATCATGAGGAGCGAGTCACACGGGGACAGGGGGATGAGGAGGAGGATCAGAAGGACGGAAAGGAAACTTATAAGCGTGAACAGGAGTTTTGGGATGATGTTCAGAAGGGTGTTGATGAGAATCATGATGAGTCGGAGGATGTTTCCATCGACAATAGTCTCAGGCTGTTGTTGCTTTTCGTCGATGCGCTGCAGCAAAGCTTGAGCCAGGAGCGTTCTTGCATGCGGGGCGAAGTTGTTGCCAGCAGTGGGCATGCGTAAGGCTTTTTTTTCCTCCCCACTGCTCGAGGCCTCTGCGGTCTCCTGAGTCGTAGCCACAAGCAGCAGGCCACTGTACTTCTAGGTCGTATCCGAACCTCCCCGCATCGCCGCTGCTGCTTCCCACGCATCTCAAAGTATTAGCTTGTCCGAGGACGTCGCCGTGAATGATAAGTTCGCCTCGCTCAGCGAAGACTTGTACCTGGCCGAACGTAAGGCCCGAGAAGAGATCAAGATTCGCAACGACATGATCAAACAGAAAAAGATCCGCGAGGAGGAGATCCGCGAGGTGCCGCACGGAGGGGACATATCCCGCATTGGCCTGTTTCGGCGGCAGTGCTTCTTTTGACACGCCGCAAGAACAAATGGTGTTTGCTCTGCTGATGCTGGACGAGACGGAAAGAGGAGGTCATGCAGCGCATTAGATAGGACTTCCGGCCAGTTCCGCCCACCCTGAAGGGAATTCCCCCGAAGGCATGCCGACGACTATCTGAGAAGGGCTTGAGGAGCACCTCGAGACTGGAGAATAGGCAGAAGTCACCGTGCCACCTTTATCGAAGACGCATGGGGCAAACCACCGCCGCCTTCTGCCTTTCGGAAACGTCCATGCGGCCAAACGTTGGGCCGAAGTCTGGCCAAGCTACTGGACTATGGGTTCCGCCAGCCGTTGTGGACCCCCTTGGGGGAACACTGGGGAATGAAAGAGAAAAGAGGAGGCGAGGGGGGAAGCGGAGGAGGAGGTGGAGGAAGAGGTGGAGGCGGAGAATGAGGAGGATGAGGAGGAGGAAGAAAACGAAGAAGACGAATCATAATAAAAGTAGTGCTCACAACACGATCGTTAACAGTAGTCGTACTTTCACGAAGAACAATAAATCAAGAAGAAACCGCATATGAATCTGATAACAAACATAATAATACGAACCATTAGCACAGTGATGCAAACAACGATAGTAATAGTGTGAGCTAGGAGAAGAAGCAGACGACCAATAATACTCACACGAACAATATCAATAAGCATCGAAGAGGCATCTTGAGGCCCTCTTGGGGCCTCCTGGGGGCTTCTATGAGCCTCTTGGGGGCCTCTGCAGACAGTAATGTAAAGTTGCTACGATTCGCCTGGACTGGAAGCGTGACCTAATATGCCTGGACTGGAAGCGTGATTGAATCAACGCGCGACCCGGGTCTGAACCGCAAGAAGATGCATGCGACGACGACGGCGCCGACGACGGCGAGGTCCAGTGATCAGAGCGCACGCGATTTTCTCACCGCTCGGGTCCGTCCCAAACCCACCGGATTCGCATAGGATCCGTCCAACAAGCGTCGGAACCGCATAACTAGGGTCCGTAGCGGATCCGTAAATCCATCCCGCGCCCGAGGCGAGGTTGAGACTCC